CATGCGTGGCGAGAGGAGGGCAGTTTTTAGCACTGTCACTTTGCTTGGCGGTGCGTGAACAGAAGAGTGTCGTTTAGCATAGAGATTTGATTTGGGTCTTATTGATTGATGGCAGTAGTCGACCCTCTGAGGAGCGCAACCCTAAAATTATTTCCTGGAGAACTTATTTCATTGTGACTGTAGATGCTGTTATTCTCCCATTCAGCAGATACAGAATCAAGTACCTCACCCAAAGTTAAACAGCCAATCCAGAACCAGGATTGGAACCCAAGTAGATGAACTCCAAACCCTGTGCTTTTTTTTTTTTTTTTTTTTTTAAGGTTTCATTCATTTGTTTCTGTGAGATACAGAGAGAGGGGCATTCCCAACAGAGCATCCATCAACATGTCACAGCCTGTGCCCAGCCTCAGCCAGCCTAGATCATACACGCATGTACCCATGGACGTCCTAGGACATGAACATGGGACCTTTCCCATGTGGGTCTAGTCGCATGTACTACTGTGCCACTGCTTGGCCTGCAGACCCTGCCTTTAGTTTTTTAGACTTTTGCCACAGACTTTTAGACTTTTAGATGGGTACTTGCAGGAGAGCGAGGGAAAGTGAGAAATCACTCCTAGCGCATGGCCACACTGCAGTCCCTTTTCCTCCATTCTCCTCATGGGATTTGGGGCACACATATTCAGCGTGTATTTCAGGCCACTGGGTCTGGGCCTTGTACCACTGAGCTGGCAACGTGGGATCCAGCATCTTAACCACCATGCCACCTGCTGGCCCACAGACCCTGCTGTTTTTACTGCTGGGCCATATTGCTGCTTTTTCTTTCTTTCTTTCTTTCTTTTTTGAGAGGGTTTTGTGTTTTGTTTGTTTGTTTGTTTTTGCTATAGGGCGCGTGTGCTCGCCAGACAGAGAGAGACATAGAGACAGAAAGCAAGAAATCACCCCCCAGGGGGATGGTCACACCGCAATCCCTTCTCCATTCTCCTCTTGAGATATTGGGCACGCATGCACACGTGCCCGGTGTGAGTTTTAAGCACCGGGTCCAGGACGCGAACCGTGGTCGACTACGTGGGAGTCCAGCGACATAGCCATTAGGCTAACTGCTGGTTCCCCATATTGCTGCTTTTTCTTCAGCATCTACTGCGTGTCAGGTCCTGAGCAGACTAAATTCTCACATCCAGGCGGGTGTGATTCATGATGTAAAAGAGGAAGGCGTGTCTTAGCTAAGAATTTGCCCCAGGCCGTGTTTTGTTTCACTCATTCGCTCACCTGGATTTACCGGGCTCCTCACGTGCACAGGCAGTTTACCGACACTGGTGTCACTGTGCGTTTGTCCTTGTCGGAGGATAAATGTGATCCTTGTTCTGGTGGTACTTACAGTTCAGAGACAGACAATCGGCAGAAAATACTCGATGATAAGTAGCAGGCAGAGAACACATGACGAGTCATTCTTTACTGGTGCTTTCTGTGGGGAAGTGACGTCTCAGCTGAGACCTGAATGACAAGGCACAGCAGTGACGTGAAGAACAGAGGAAGACCATTCCAGGCTGAGGGAGCACCACGAATGTCCCGAGGCTTGAGCGTGGGTAGGAGGAGCGAGTGGGCAGAGAGGAACAAGGTCAGGGGCAAGGAGCCTCATGCAGCCTCAGCCAATGAAAGTGGAGGCTTTGAGGTTTTTCTTTTGTGCTTTTTAAGTTTATTTTCATTAAAGAATTATTTATTATTATTTTCTTTTCCTATAGGGCACATGCATTCACCAGAGAGACAAAGACAGCAAGAAATCACCCACTGGGGGCCACACCGCAATCCCTTCATCTCCATTCTCCTCTCAGGGTCTTGGGCACAACGCACACGTGCTGGTGTGAGGTTTGAGCTACTGGGTCCGGGACTCAAACTGCAGCCATCCATGTGGGAGTTCAGCAATGTAACCGTTACACCATCTGCTGCTTCCTATTATTATTCTTTAATTTGACCAGAGAGAGAGAAGGGGAAAATGAGAAAGCAAGCCATCAGGTCTGGAACTCAAACCACAGCCATGTGGGAGTCCAGTGCCCCAACCACTACGCCACCTGCCGGCTCCAAGTTTATAGTTTATTTATTTATTTTTATTTATTTATTTCTACTTCTGAGATCTCAGAAATAGGCACCTCCCCACAGGGTCTTTTTTTTTTTTTTTGGAGAGATTTTCACTGTAGGGCGCGTGTACTCGCCAGACAGACAGAGAGAGACATAGAGACAGAAAGCGAGAAATCACCCCCCAGGCGGGATGGCCATGCCGCAATCCCTTCTCCTCCATTCTCCTCTCGGGATCTTGGGCACACACGCACACGCGCCTGGCGTGAGTTTTAAGCCACCGGGTCCAGGACGGGAACTGTGGTCGACTACATGGGAGTCCAGCAACATAGCCATTATACTAACTGCTGGTCCCCCCACAGAGTCTTCATGCCATGCTCTAGCTTAGCCAGCCCTAGATCACAGGCACTTGCACACCCCGTGGGTATGGGTTGGTCTCAGGACATGAACTGGGGACATTCCCATTTGGCTCCAGTTGCATTGCCACTGGGCTATAACCTGGCCCTGAAACTTCAAGTTTTATTCATAAGCACTGTAGGAAGCCATTGGAAGGGTTTCTCGGATGTGATAGGATCTGATTTTGTTTGTAAAAGATCCTGCTTTGAACCAGAAGGTGTGCAGGTTAAGTTGGCTGGATCCCCTGTGGCCAACTGAACGCTCTAAGTCCTGGACCCTGCGGCTTGAAAATCATTCCAGGCACATGTGCATGTGTGTCCGAAGCCCCAGGAGGTAATGGAATAGAAGGAATTGAGGAGTTGTCATCCCCCTGGGGGGTGATTCTCACTTTCACTCTGTCCAGTGAGCACACACACACCCTGTAGCAAACACTCAGGGGGAAAAAAGATCTTGTTGTGTGTTGTCCATTGGACTGTGGGGGCCGGTGTGGGAGCAGCACACCCTGACTGCACTCTGGTAAGAGTTGGTGTGGGTCACCAGCTTGGGGTGAGGAGTATGTGGGTTTGCTGGTGTTAACTTGCTGATTTTGATGAAGAAGCTAGCGGGAGAGATGAATCAGCCTGAACCATTTGTAGGAAATGAACCTGTTCACTCAGATGGAGAAAGCAGGGCTGACGCAGCTTGGAGAGCGGCTATTTCAGACACGCTGAGTTTGTGCACCTCTCCTTACTCGGGTAGAATTCTGGGGAGTGACCGGGGCTGCAGCTCCAGCTCTGGGAGCCCGTGCTGGGCTGTTAAGACTGAAGACCATGGAGCGAGCGTTGACCTGGAGAGGCTGAAGATGTGGGCTGTGCTAGCATTTTATGGTTGACAGAAGGGCCAGCCAAGTGTGTGTGATGTTGGGGCAGCCACCAGAAGTGTTCGTGGGGAGAGGAGTGAATGGGTACTGCACGTAAATTCAGAACACAGATATGAACACTGGCCCCGGCAACCTGGAGGGCCCAGCACAGAGCCTAAGGGGAAGGTAGGCTGTGGGAATAGACCTCTAGGCCATGCTGTCTTTTAAAAATTAACAGCATGGCGTTGGCTTTAATTTTACATCTTTTTTTTTTTTTGAAGAGGTTTTTGCTATAGGGTGCGTTTGCTCACCAGAAAGACAGACAGCGAGAAATCACCCCCCGTGGGGGATGGCCATGCCACAATCCCCTCTCCTCTCAGGATCTTGGGCACGCACACACGCACCCAGCATGAGTTTAAGCCACTGGGTCCAGGACTAGAACTACACTTGACTACATGAGAATCCAGTATTGTAGCCATTACACCAACTGCTGGTCCCTACAACTTTATTTTTAAAGGTTTATTTCCTCCATGAGAAAGACAGCACTTCCAGTGGGGTCTTCATGCCACAATCCACCCCCAGCCTAAGCCAGCCCCGACAACACTTTCAATGAAGGGAGCAGAGAAGGGTGGGAGACGAGGGAGACACAGGGTCAAGTCAGGGCCTTTTCCAACATGGACAACAAAGTCTGCTGGTGTTCTGGTGACAAAGGTCCACACAGAGAGAGACAGGCTTGGAGGAGAGGGGGCCGCCTACCAGAGCATGATGTTCCTCAGAGGAGAGGTGGCCCAGAGTCAGAGCAGGAGCTGTAAGGTAGCAGGAGGGATGGCAGAGACAATGGGGTGGGGGGAAATGAGGGGCACCCCTCTGGCTGCTTCCAGTTTTCACCGTGATGGAAAGGCAAGTTCATGGGAGGGTGGGGGGCAGGAGGCGCTGCGAAATTGGTTTGGAGTAAAGGAAAGGAAGGAGACTTCCTAGGGGCTCAGCTCAGTGCCCAGCGTCCTTGGCAGGGCTGGTTGCAGGGTAGAAGGTAGGGTGGACACGTGGGCCTAACCAGGGCTGGGGGTTTTCCAGGTGAGAGTTACGGAGAGAGGGAGACCAGTGTGAGCCGGGGGCTGCAGGGTGTAGCGAGCCAGAAGCGGGGCACCCAGGCCTTGTCATCAGATGTTTCCTGTGGAACCATTTCCCCTTTCTCCTCTTCCTTCTGCCAGGAAGGCCCCCAGGTGGGCAGTCCTGGCTGGCAGACCCTGCCTGGGGAAGGCTGCTGCGCTCGCTGTAACAGCACCTCCCTGTGGACGCTTCCTGGCAGCTTCATGCTCCTCCATCTCTCCCTCCCTATTTCTTAGCATCTTTTCTTTGGGTCGTTCAGCACCCCAAGAATAAGAAAGCGGGAGGATGTCTTAAAGTCATCTAAGGTCTCTGTCACCAGCTGACTTGAAGTCAGTCTGTGAAAGAAATGCGCCAGCAGCAGGCGGTGTGGGTAAGGTGATGGCTCCTACATGGCCGACCACTGTTTGAGTCCCAGACCCAGTGGAGAGAGGATTGTGGTGTGGCGGCCTGCCCCCGGGAGATGATCTCTCACTTTTCTCTCTGTCTCTCTGCTTCCCTTCCCCCACAAGCGCATATGCCTTATAGGAAAATTTAAAAAGAAAGAAATTCCGCTGCACCTCAGTGATACTTTTCTCTTCCTCCCTAGGTCTTAGAGAAGCCTTCCTTTGGAGAATCTTCCAGAACCACCGGTGAGATCCGGAGCTCCCTCTGCTCCCAGGACGAGGCATCCTGAGAGTCCCTGCACCTTCCAGCTTTGTCCCCTGCTGACCCATCATGCTGGAAATGCCCCTTTCCACTTTTTCTTCCCCTAGGGTGCCGAACTAAGAGCACCATGCAGCAGCCCTCCACCCCATGGGGCTGTAGCTTCTCTGCCCAGCTCGGCTACCTCAGAGGACGCTAGGACTGCCTACGGGGAGGGGGATGCGGCCCTCTCAGGGTAGCTGCGGTGCCCCCAGGACTTGCTCCTCTGTTTTCCAGCTTGTACACAGCTTGCTCCTAAGGCATCTGTTGGACCCTGTGAGACAGAGACGCTGACGGCTGGCGTCTCTCAGGTTCCCATGGAAATGAGGTGAGCAAGGTGTGGGAAGACGGCCAGGCCACTCGGCAGTTACAGCCATCATTCCATCTTGCAGAGAGGAAGCTTTGGGGGCAGGGGCAGAGACTTGGAGAACTGGCCCAGACCCAGGCGCTCAAGCTCTGACCTCACCGACCTAGAGAATCAGGCCCCATTTCTGTGCAGGGAAGGCCTGGATGTCAGGAGGTCAGCGAGCCCACCATGCCTGGCTTTGCTTTTACAGAGGACTCCATTCTTTTCTCTCTTTCTTTTCTTTTCTTTTCTTTTCTTTTCTTTTCTTTTCTTTTCT